TGATCCGAATCCCCAGAACTCCTGGAGCTGAGCTGTGACTGTCGGTTCTGATGCTGCTGTTTGTCGTGACTTTGACTGTCGGGACGTCCAAACTGCGACTGTTTAATTCTTTTCACCTCGTCTTCCTCCTCCTCTGGGAGACCAGGCTGTCAGCGTCCTGCCGTTCATTTATCATTTTAATTAATGGAGTCCCCATCAAGTCATTGTGCCCCCGATCCGATCCGAGGCGTTTAATATTTAGTGTCTGCTGATACCGAGTCCCAGTCCGATGCTGTTCCACCAGATAGGACACACGCCGAGCGCATCACAGGCATTACAATCAATCCAGCGGATATGCTCGCATTCTGATGGCGGTTCTGCATCCTGTCTGGTCCTGAATGTTCTCCAGATGTTCAGGAACCTTGTTGTAAAGCTCTGATAGAACCCTGTCTCCATGTAGTGTTAGAGGGTCGCATGTATGGAGGCTGTAAAAACCTGTATTCTCTACATGCAGGTCAGTAAATGTACCATAGATCAGCTGCAGTACCTGGTTGTTCCACCAGATGGAGCCTCTGGGACCATGACAGAGACTCTGAGGAGGTTCATGACCTCCGACTCATGTTCTGAGGAAAACTGGGAACAACTGGGAAGCATGTGCAGGTTATTGATTTGGAAAATTATTCCGATTAGCATCTGTAGCATCCTGCGACAAACTGTGTTCTCACGTTACGAAGCCTGTGTGACAGCAGATAAAAAGAAAGGGTCGAGCGTTTTTGATTTTGCACATTTCAAGTAATTTTAGACTAATTTTGAGTAATTTTGGAGAAGTTTCAAGACATTTTGGAATATTTCTGAATAACTTTGGATAAGTTTTGAGTATTTTAGGCTAAATTCGAGTCATTTCAGATGTTTTGGTTGTTCGAGTTTGGCTGCAGTACCTGGTTGCTCCACCAGATCGTACCCTTTTGCCGTTTAGAACAACAGGACACCATGACAAAGACTTGTGTGACACTTGATCACCTTCGACCGATGTGTTCTAGACAAACTGGGATTGATTAGGACAGCTTTCTTGTATCCTAGCGGCCGATGACGCCTGTGTGACAACGAACACAAACAAAGAATCTGGCTTTGGTTTGGGTCGATACCGATGACTTAAAAAAAGCTTAAATGGGCGCCAATCCAGACCTTTGACATCAGATCAGGACGTCCTTAATTTTAATGCATCCTGTTGCTTCTTACGCTCTTTGTCGTGTTTTTTGGCTCATATGAAAACTACATTTTTTGATTTTTTGGTCAACGTGTTTCCATGAAGTTACTATTTTATCATTTATTGTTGTTACTCGTCTTTAACGAGTTCGTAGCAACACTAGCCGGCTGATTATCTGCAGACACCAGTGAGTTCTGTACCTGGATCTCTGTTTGAATGCAGTTGATATAAAAGAAACGACTCGTCTGTAATAGATGATCCGGTAGAAGCAGTCATCAGAAAGTCTTGTTTATCTGTACTCAGAACTTCAGGCACTAACGTACTTGTAATGACCTTAATTAGCTGAAAACAGAAGCTAATTCATTGCAGAGGAAACGGTGTGAACGCTGCATGTGTTTGGCACCAGAGTTACTTCTGAACTCGCCGCCCCTGATCGATGCTCGGGGCTTTTCTCTGGCGAGGTGTCCGAGCAGGACGCCCTCCGAGCAGCGCCGGATCCATCATTCATGAAGGCCGACGAGCTGGCGACGGTCGCGTCCATCGCTTCACCTCGCTGCAGGGCGGCGCGGGAATAAAACGTCTGCTACACGCAGTCGACCTTGTGGAAGGACCGCGGCAGGAATCCGTCCTTACAGCAGAACCGCCGCCGGGATTATCAATAAAAAGAGGACGGGATGCGTGGCGGCGATCCGGGGCAGATCCGGGCCACGGTGGAGGAAAATCCACAACCAAAGCTGGCTCAACAAGGAGCTTATCTACGGCGGCTTCAGGAACATACGGCTTTCCTACATATAGATTTGAATTAAAAAAAGGCATTCAGCTGCTCAAGTCGCCCTCTGACCCACGAGGAGATATTATGGGATGGAGGAGAAAATGAAAAATGAGTGCAGAGCTCCACCCGGATTTCATTTCAGCAAAGTACCTGCATTACGACTTTCTCATTACACGGTGTTCACGATATATGGAGTGTGACCACAAGCTGGAAAACTCCACCTTTGATCATCGGAACCAGAAGAACTAGACGCCGTTTCATTGCCAAGAAGGTTTTTAAACATTAATTTGTAGATTAAAAAATGTGCAGGTCAGCAGTCGGTAGCATCAAGTTTAGCAAACACCAAGGACTATAAGTCATAAAAAAGAAAATATTTCTGGTGTGCAGAATTTAAATGCCTGAGAATGTGCAGGGTTTCTTCATATGTGATGTAAAACCACATCTTTGATTTAGTCGTGACCTTGTGCAGCGATGCTCTGCTCCCAGTGCTCCTGCAACACAAGTTAAAAAAACATCTTTAGTGTTGTAACTATAATGTTTGAGTAATTTTCATGTGGGAACAAATCAAACTGATCCAAACAACGAGCTTAAGTGTTTTATTTCTCTGCTAACAGCCTGAATTACACATTAAAGGTACCGTATGTTCCCATGTGAAGCAATTTACACGTAATAATCACTTTTTGATTGTCGACGCGTGAACAAATCACAGCTTAGCGCAAGAAACGAGACCTTTCCGGCTGCTTTTAGCAGCCATTAAACTGCACAAAGTGGTCATTAAAACAGAGGATGTGACATTTAAAGTGCCTCGATTCCTCCTCGGCAGCGCGCGACACAAGCTAACGGTAGCTATTAGAAACAGAAAGGAGCCGCTAACGCCACCAAACAACCACAGACCGGATGGAAAAGATGGACGCAGCCTCCGGGTCTGGAAGACGTGAAAGCGGTACCGTTTGCAAAACCCACTTTTCCATCCAGAGTTCAGCTTTTTTATTTTGAGGAAAGCAGCATTCGTCGCTTGTGATTGGTTTAATTAACAGTCCAGAGCACTTTTCTGATAACGAGGTGAGCCGGACCGTTCTGCACAGATTGGGCCTAAAAAACCAAACAATGTGACCGATGTTGATCGGGTCAACTCGGGTTGATCGTGGCAGGGCATTCGATTTACCGTAAATTCCGGACTATTGAGGCACCTGAATATAAACCGCACCCACCAACTTTAAAAAGAAAACAAGTTTTGTACATATACAGGCCGCATTTGTCTATAAGCTGCAGGTGTCCACGTTTTAACACAAGACATTTACATAGAAAGATGTTTTAAACTTTTAATTAAATATGTACCGGTAACATACACAAATACGTACCGTAAATGTCGGCGTGTCGGAGTCTAACAGCCTGAGAATTACTTACACTTCCTCGGTCTCTCTTTCGTTGTTGCTCTCGACGTCACTTTTGTCTCGAGACGAATTCGCAAAAATCCATAAATTAACCTCGTCGTTGTTTAAGCTTCAGTGTTCAAAGCGTGTGAAAGAAGTAGCGGCTTATAGTCCGGGAATTACGGTAATGTGGAGCCAAAACAGGAAATGTGTAAACTATATTCTATCATCAAGAAGTTATCCATAAAAATCTAAAGTTGACCTCTTTAATGTCAAAGTCTTTGTGCGTCTGCTCCCGGTGCTCCTGCAACACTTGGAAGTCCGTTTATGTTAGCATGTTTAGCACCACTTAGCTTAATGACCTAAACAGCGACCCCTAAACCTAATTCAGGTCTTGGGAAGTCAAAGGGAACTAAAACCGGAGAGCAAAGTGGGTGAAAGGTGGATAAAAACATGTGTCACAGCTGGACGTATAGAAAACGAAGGCGCCACAGTTCAGGTTGTTACGGTAGAACTCTGACCGCTGGAAGAACTTACCTCACAGAAACCAACAAGCGTTCTCTTGAGGCCTTCACTTCAAAGCGAGCTCCACAAATCCCATTTCCTGGCGTCACTAAACCTTAAAAACTGCCGTCACGCGAAGGTGTTCGTCGGCTCCACGTTTCCTTAAATCCAGCTTTGACATTGAAGAAGATGACCAAACATCTCCACGTTCCTCATGGGGAGAAGGAAGCTAACGGGAGGAATGTGAAGCCGTAATAGAGGCTGCCGGAGGAAAGCCGGACGGTGTGAATGCGCCGGCTAATGGGCCTATCGATATCACTCCCTCATCATTAAGGCATGAGCGCAGCCGATTATAATTACAGCTGCTGTGTTTTCCATTAAACGCGTTGCTTGGATGCAGCTCCTTCTTATGGCTCGCTTTTTTTTTTTTTTTTTTTTCCTCTTTCTGCTGCAGCCGCTCAGTCCTGCACAGAACAAACGCAAAAACACAATTAACAGCGATAAGTAGGCTTACGGCGGATCATTAAGGGTCAACAAATACAAGGTCTCCACGCTTTAATCAGCCGCTGGGTCATTATAGCGCCACATAAAGGACCGTAGAACCGGCTGATGCTTTGGATTTGCTGGCTGTCAGAGGAAAGATTTCACCTCTGACCTTTCTGCTTGATCAAAAACAGACGGATCCTTGAAATAATGCTGATTAGTTTGCCAGTGAAGCATCCGACTTCCACTCTGGTGCCAAAAGTCATTTTATTATTTCCTCAGATTTTCATCTAAACAGAGTTATTAGAGATTTCTCTTCACTCTTTAATATAACGCTGGTGAATGCTGACCACGACAGCCTCTCCGGCCAAACAGACACAGTCTATGGAGGTGGTTTGCAATATTTATTCATTGCTTCATGTTCATTTGTCCATGGTTTTCTGAATAACAAAACAATAACCCCAACACAAAATTAGTGACTAATCAACTGAAGAAAACATAACTAAACATCAATCAGTAATTAAACCCCCCCAGAAGTAAAGAAATTATCTTACGGATCAGTCACTCGTGGATTTGTTGAAAAGGGATTCCCAGGTCACTTCAGATCTATGGAGAGATGTTTGCAGCTCACTGACCAGCCTCCAATGAATGCCACCAGCTCTGCTTCTCTCACCTGATTTCAGTTGGCAATTAAGCCAGGCTTTGAGGCTCCAGCCCTGCAGTGGCACACCTGTTTTGCATCCGGGAATCATGAGAGGCTTCAGGGCTCAGGTGTCCACCAGAGGCCGCCATTTCCCCATTGCCAACAGGGAATTTGTAACAAGAGTAAAATTATGTTTATTTTTTTTAATGCGACAGTGTTGTAATGTGCTGTTTGACCTGATGGTGGCACTGTTGTCTCACCGTTTTAATGCCTAAACCCAGACTTAATGATGCAGAAGTGCGTTTTCTGTAACAGTAACGTGATGCTGCAGCACCTGAGTGTCGGGTTTAGTGCAGAACAGCATTTAGTTTACTATCGAGTTCTATGAGAACAGCTCTGCGGATGAAGATGAAACTTTAGGTGCGGGTCTTATTTTAAGTATGAAGCAAGAATAATAAGTTAGCAGGTATGTAGAATGCCCCCCAGTGGGCACAAAAACAACTGCAGCTCACGTCCAGCAGCACAATTTTTACAGTAGTTTCTACAAATCTGCTCTGATTTGTGTGTAGCGTCAAATATAGATATTTCCGAAAATATTTGGGAAATTTCAGCTTGATGCATCGACTACTTTCCAAGATAAGAGTTTTTAGAAACTGTCCATCGATCCACTTTCAGCAGGTTTTGAAATTCGAGGCTGTTTGAACGACGATATCTGAGGAACTATTAAAGATAAAAAGCTGAAATTTTCGAGGTTGTTTCTCATCATGTCGATGATTCAGAATCTGTAATCGTCAAAGTCCTGTAGGTTTGTATAATGCAGTGACAAATACCAAATAAATTACACTAAACTACACGACAAGAGTCTTTCAAATCAAGGTTTATGCCAATAAAGTGGTGTCTGGAAAGAAAGAAAAATGATAAATAATGAAGTTAGAAGTCTGTTCTACTTGGATTTTTTCTGTTTTTGTGCCACAACTTGTCAAACCTGCTCAATCAGTCGTGAAAGTTAAACAAAAATGACTTTCTTTTCATTTCTGTGACCAAATATTTCATATTTAAAGTGTTCTACATGTTTAATTTTGTATTATTTTAACATAAAGCTTCATATGATTCAGAAAACATCACTGGCTGACTTCTGTGTTGGCAATTATCTTATTATTATGAGCTCAAAGGTGGTAATTTTAATGAGTTTATTTCATATTTTGACTCACACAGAATCAGAGATTATTCGCTCTACTTGTCCAGTATTAGAGATTCTTAATCAGCGACATGATGAGAAATAAGAGTGAAAATATCAGGTTTTTATCTTTAATAGTTTCTGAGATATTCTTGTTCAAACATCCTAAAATCCAACATGAGAAAACAAAACTAGAAGTGGTTGATATATGAAGCTGAAATCTGACAAATATCCAGATTTTACGATCACAAATAATCCTTTTCTAATCGACTGTAGCAGGTGGAGTTGGGCATACAGCACACGTTCAGGCAGACCTCATCTCTGAATGACTTTACGGGATCGTTATGGATGTAAATGTTCCTGCCGGGATGCGTTTGTGCATTCTGCTCCTCTCTGTTCGCCTTCGTATTGTTGCTGCATATTTATGCTGTATTTGGCTAAATAACGCTCGGGCTGAGCTGCTCGGCTTCCTCCTCGTCCCCCTCGTGTCTCCGTGCTGTGTCGACGTCTGATACTCGCCCATGCAAATAAAGTGTATTTGAATTTGAATTGGAATTAGTGTGAGTGTGTGTGTGTGTGTGTGTGAGTGTGTGTGTGTGTGTGTGTGTGTGTGTGAGTGTGTGTGTGTGACAGACAGGAAGTGTTTCGGTGTGTTTTTCCCTGCAGGCTGTTCTTACATTCGACTGTGTTCAACCCACAACATTCACATGACATAAATTATTCATTACATCCACAAACTGTGTGAGGCGTGCGCACGTGTGTGTGTGTGTGTGTGTGTGTGTGTGTGTGTGTGTGTGTGCGCGTCCTCCTGCCTCTGCCTTTGTGTCTCTATATGCACGTATGTATATGTGAGTGTGTGGTTTGACTTTAAAGCTAACAGCTCATTGATAGCGCCGACTGTTAGCGCAGCGTCCTCTGTTATGTGCTGATACAGAAACAGCCGTGAATCCAAAGTGCCTCTAAAACACGCCGAGAATAAACATTTCACAAACGGGCTGTGATGCATGTGAGCGTGTCAGAATCAATATTTAGCTCCGGCTGCGTTTTAACGGTTTCGGCGCTGCGGCCCACCTGACGTGGAAGCGCCGGCTGTGAGAGTTTACCGAGCGGCTAAACGCAGCGTTTAGTCACGAAGACGGACTGGAGGGACGAAAAGCGCTGATTGGAATTTGAAATACAGCTTTATTTGCGGAGAGCCGAGCGGGCCGTTTTAATATTTCACATGTCTACAGCGGAGAGCTCAGCCGGAGCATCTAATAAAACAACAAGTAAAGGAACAAATGCAGTAATGAAAAATCGTATTAGGCTTCAGGCGGCTCCATCATTTTCTTCCACTTATCCAGAGTTGTGTTTTGTGGTTCCTCCTGGGGGCATCCCGAGGCGTTCCCAGGCCAGATGAGGTGTACAGTCCCTCCTGAGGGTTCTGGGTCTGGGAAAACCTCCAGAGGAATTCGCCCAGGAGCCATCGACATCAGATGTTGAACCACCTCAGATGGATCCTTCTGACTCGGCTTTGATCTCCCTCCAGTTGTCCGAGTTCTTCACCTTTTATGGACGTCGAGCCACTCAACAAGAAGAAGAAGTCTTTACTTGTCAAAAACACATTACAGCACCGTGAAATCCTCTTGTCACATCTCCCAGTTGGGGGCATCCATGACAAGGCACCTGGAGCAGGTTAAGGGCCTTGCTCAAGGGCCCGACACCGGGGTTTGAACCTCCAACCTTCTGATTAGCCCAGAGCCTCAGCGGTTGAGTCGTGTGATACTCAAAGCAAACTGGTCCGAGGGGAGGAACCAGACTAAAATTGATTTAAAGACCTCATTTAATCAGAAATCAAAGAACTGCGTAACCTTGGCCGGAATAGGGACTCTAGAAACACCTTGGGTCCAGGAGGGGAGCTCACCAATGAGTGTCCGGTAGCCAAGGCACCACCCAATCAGGTAAGCGTTGGGGTCAGGTAAGGTGGTAAGGGTGGGCACCTTAATTAAAATCTGTCTTTCAGACAAATCATACAGATAAAGTCTCAAAAGAAATAACAACACTGTCCAAACTTCTCTCCTCCACCTCAACGAAGCCAAGTCGTGATTGGTTGTGACACAATGAGGATCCCGGATGTTTGAACTCCTCACCCTATCCCTAAGGCGGAACCAGGTACTCTACAGAGAATGGGGGAGCCACAGCTAATTGGTCCTCGGGGAGGAACCAAACGAAGAATGATTCAGAGACCTTAATGAATCAGGAACCAAGAACATCCTTTCCTAGAATCAGGGGATTGGGGAACCTTCCAGAGAGGAGCTCGCCGGTGAGCATCTGCTGGTTGATTCTTGGCCCATTGGGCTTGGTCGCCCTCCGTCGGTGTAGGGAGCTATGTTGTTGGGGGTAACAGCCACAACAAACTGGTCCTTGGGTTTAGATCGATTTAAAGACCTCATGCATCGGGAACCAAGGCCCAGTGCAACGTTTCCTGGAATAAGGACACCAAGGCCCACTTCTGGAGTCTCAGGATGTGGGTGATGCTGTATTTAAAGAAGTTCGGATGCAGATTCTGTACAGATTTTAACTGAATGTGAAGTAAATGATGTAACCCTGTACGGTCAGTGTTTAAGTCATAGTGTTGAGTAACTCTTAGAGCCTGATGGACGTCCAAGTTCCCTTCTTCTCAGCTGAATAGAAAACACATATCTAATGCACCTTCACAAACAGATATGTTACCATCTATTCAGTACAAGCCTTTGCCTGGTTTTCTACCTCCGCATGTAGACGCTAAACACTTAATTAAATCCTGACAGGTGTTTCTTTCGGGCACTTAGCGCATGTTTTTGTCATCAGATTCCAGAAAATCTCCCCGACTCACTCCCCTGCTGCCAGCATGTCACGGTGGGATACGAGTAAAAACACTTTATTAAAACATTCTTTACCTTGGCTGATATAAAAAGTAAAACCCATTAGGTATTATGATATCAAACGCTGGAAGATGTTCTGAAAAATACACGACGCAGCGCGAGTGCCTCGCCTTTATAATGACCGAGACGAGCGCTTAAGAGTCGAGGCGGTGAAGTTAGCCTGAAAGCAGCTCAGGGCTAACAGGTTAATTTGAGAATAATGATCAGAATGAAACTCAGGTTTTCACCAACGTGTAGTTTGATTATTAAACACGGACGTTATTCAGCTACGAGTGCTGCAGCTGTGTGACGCTGAACAACTGGGAAGAGACGCAAAAATATAGAAAAGAAATGAAAATAAAAATAAAAAGATCCACAATGGTCCATGAAAAGACTGCAAAGCTGCACAGAATTACCAAAAACAGACTTAAACTGAGTACATCTCTTGTATTATAATCCATGTAAGTCATTTTTTGATGGTATAAAACTGTCAGTGTTGTGAGTTAATATGTTTATTTTACTCCTCTGAGTAAATTAAATTAATTCTGGTTCTGTCTCATAAAACATTAAACTTAAAAAACACTTTCGTTTTTGACCAAACTGCAGTGAAATTAATGTTATTGATTCGATTTTCTCTGGGATAAATGCTGATAATCAATCAATCTGTGCAATACCGATGGTTTTCAAGATACAGAAATGTCAAATATTGTTGTTTTCTGCATCCAGAGGAATCAGTGCAATTTTTTTTTTAAATAAATGGAAATACCATTACTTATTGTATAATTTTCGTTCATTTTTTTCTCCTTTGCTTCTGTAATACAAATGTACCCACTCTGAGACCAGTAAAGTCTTAGCCTAGCTTAGCTTAGCTTAGCTCAAATTAGCCTAGCTTAGCTCAGTCTGTCATATTAGCTGCAGGACCAACAGTGTAAAACTTTCTTTGCCACAAATCAGGACCAAGAATAAACAGAAAGTTGTTTGTTTTCTGCATCACCATCTGAACGCAGGGCGCTTCCTGTTGCAACGTCCAGTTTAGATGCTGTAGTTGCTCGACTTCATGTCATAGGAGGACTAACGTGCAGCTCAATGCGTTTGCAGGTAAAACCTCCAAACTCTGAACAGAACCTCCTCCAGCATCAGCATCAGTCGCCGTGGAGACCTGGCAGGTTAAAACACACCTCAGTGGAGCGACTTCTGATTTGTTCTCACTGATTCTTGTAAACGTTCGGAGTTCCAGCAGAGATTTATTTGGACAAACTCTGAGAATCTGCACTTCAGTGACTGTCGACACAACAAAGTCGACCGCAGGTTTACGGGAAGCGGAGTCTGAATCAGAGCGGCTTTAATATTTCAGCGGGTTATATTTACCACCACAAATGTTTTCTCGGCTGCTGCTGCTTTGTCAGACACAGTTCGTGCTCGGCGTTCGGCATCTCTTGCCTGGAAACCTGCGGATCTGTTTGTTTTTGGCAGCATACAGTCGGTTAGCCAGCTGTCACTCAGCTCGCTCGGCTGCTTCTCCTCTCCAATAAAAAAATGGTTGAAAAGTGGACGCCCACACGCAACAGTCCAACTAAATGATCAGTCATCGCATTAATTCTGCAACAATATCTCGGCTCCAGCCTGTGTGGGAGAAATCTGGAGGAATCCTCATTAAAACTTTACAGACTGCGAGGCTCCAACAATTACAAACTTTTCCTGCCTCTGATTACTCATTGATAATTCTTGTTTTAAAAGTTAACGAAGCGAATGTCTAAAGCTGATAAAATATATGAACTGCAGGTCGACTGATGTGGTTTGTTTCAAAGTTCAGAGCAACACTTCATTTATTTCAGCCTGTCTTGGGTTTAATTACCAACATTTGTCCTTCAGTGTTGATTGGCTGGTTGTTATTATGTACAACCAATCAGATGGAGCTGTGGGCGGGGCCAAAGTAACCCATTTTTGAATTTATCCATTTATTATCTGGAATCGAGCTTTTAAAAAACTGGAAAAATCCTGAATATTGGATCTGATAATCAGCTGTCAGTGACATTTCTGTCCACTTGGGGACAGAAGAGCTCCAAGACCAACTGGTAAACCTACATTTTTGACTATTTCACTCATAAAGATGCTCCGATTAGCGTGTTAGCATATATTTACAGTTTGTGCATGCAGGAATTGTCCTGCAAACCGAAAGTTGGTGGTAAAAGTAGCTAAAAAGCTGAATAGCATCGATGCAGGATCCTTGTTGAGAAGTCCTACAGATGTTGGTGTTCCCCAGAGGATGATCCCGAATAACTTCAGTGTTCCACTTAAGTTCAAGTTTGCCATGAAGCATGCTGACATTAGCATGTAGCTCAGCGCATCAGGGTACTGAAGTATAGCTTAGCTAGCATGGCCGTGGACTTCTAAAGTTAAATGGAATCTGTTGATATGAAACTTTAAACCAATCAAACTTGAGCTAGCCTTGACTTTTTTCAACACTCCAATGATACGATGAGGTGTCAACCAATCACAAAAGTACTTTCACCATTTCCACTCTTAATCTCCTCAACAATCTCCTGTTGTTTCTGAAAAAAATGGAAGAAAAGCTTCTTCTTGTCATTAGCCAGCTAGCCGTTAGCCAGTCCCCAGCGCTATTAAACTTTTTCTTTCTTTCAACAAGCGGTTGAGCAACACAACTTGGTGACCGTGCAGCTTGCTAGCATCTTAGCTAACTTAGCCTGCATAGGAGGAGAAGCCAGAGCAGCATGTTAGCATATTAGCAAAAACTGGATGTTGCGCTTAAAGATGGCAACCAGTTCTCATGCCATCTCTCTGTTGGCTTCCTCAATCTTGGTTTTGGCCACACAAACTATGTGTCTTTATCAAGTTTCATGTTTGTGGCTAAAAGTGAAGAAGTGCGAAAAGCTGCAGTTCCTTGAACGTCCACTTGAGGCTCCAACAGTGAGTCACAGACCTCCATGTTAAAATGTGCAGCTTTACAGCAGAAATAAACACGTTTACGTCCTGGTAGGAACATGGATTTGGTCTCTGTGGTGAGTTTTCTGTCTGCGTCAGCCGTAAAGGAGGTGAAGTTTTTATCTAACTTAACCATTTAAACTGTTTTAAGGCTTAAAAATCTCCACATTTGAGGGTTCTGGATTCATTAAAGCATCGAACTTTGATGAAAGCGGTTTTCTTCATGGCTTGTGGTGTTTCTATCGAGGTGCAGGACTTTATATTAAAGTAAAAAATAAACCCAGAGTGCAGAAAAATGTGAGATTAGCAAGAATAAAACCAGATGCCTCTGTAATAAAGGCAGTTTGTTTGCAGGCTTTGATGGATTTTGTCTTTGACTGAGTGTTGCTGCTGTTTCCAACTTATTAAAACAGCAAGAAAACACGTCCAGTCATCTGAATATGAGGCTCAACGCATGTTTTTTCTGACAGTTTCTCCAGGAACATGTGTCAGGTTTCCATTCCCGCCATCGTTTGCTGCTAATAAACGTCATGTGATTTCACATTTAATCAAAGTGTCAGAAACAACCCGTCGGTTATTAATAGATCGGTTCCAGTTAGCAGCTGAAGCCGTGTTCTGCCTCCGGAGGTTTGAACTCCTCCCGCGGTTCTCCGAGGAACGTTCAGTCTGTGGCAGGTTGAAGTGTTTCCAGGATCTGAAGCCGGAGACAAAATGACCGACAGGAAAAAAACAAAGTCAGAGTTATTTTGTGTGTGTGTGTGTTGTTGTGTTTTTTTTTTCTTCTTTTGCTGCAGTTGTCACATTTGCCTGGTTTCCAAGGAAACTGAATTATTTCCCCTCAGATGCATCATGATGCTGTTTTTCTCGGTGTGTTGTTGGATGGATCCATGCGGGGAAGGATGAGGACCCCGAGCAGGTGCCCACAGAAAGCTGATGTAAAATATCAGAGCCGGAGCCGCGAGATGATGGAAGAGAAAAAGTCACTGAGAAAGAAGTGTTTGTTGCGATCGGCCTCTGTGGTGGAAACGACTTTAAATGAATGAAAATATGAAATAAGGAAGCGTTCCTGCTCACGTGCAGACAGAACGCCGTCCGTCAGCCCCCGGCGACGGCGTAAATGGCAAATGACTGCGTTTACGCCGCTTTCATCTGAAGCACTTTACAATTTGCGCCTCCTCGCTCTGACGGCAGCCGGCAGATCATCTGGAATAATTCTGGGGTTTTGTCGTCGTCACGCCGACAGCGGCAGCCTCGCATCCAACCTCCAACCTGTGATTAAAGGACCGAAGCAGCTCCAGGAGGCAGACGTCAGGGCTTCACCGAGCGTCGCTTCGGCGGCGTTTCGGTCTCGAATTAAAACTCTGCCAGGAAGAAGCCGTTCCTGTTGTTTCTGCACCTTCATGGGATGAGTTCACCTGAATAAAAAGCCCCAATTACACCAGGACAGACCCCGTCACTATCATTAGTATTTGCATTTAATTGATGTTTAGGGAGGCGCCCACGTAAAAATAATCAGCGCCGCCGCCCGCCGTGCGACGAGCAGAACTTCTGTCGTCGTCGTGCCGTTTGATTTCGCTGCTGTTTGCCGGAGTCAAAGGAACGACGTCGACCTTCTACGTCTGTTTGTTCGGCGTGACACAGAGTCTGAAAGCACATTTTTAAAGGAGTCGCATAAAAGCTGAAGGAGCTTTCTGAGTGAGACGAGGATTAGATTTAGTGGAGGTGAAACTTTTAGTCCATTTTTCTTCAGATTTTGAACCAAAGACTGAAAACACCTACGAGTGAATCCTTCATTACCGTCGTAGAGTCACTGCTGCAACCAGTGACATGCTGCTTAACCGTATAAAAACTACTATTAGTGTCCACGATTTGGATCTGTTTTATGTTGACAACTTTACAACGATTTTACATCCAGTTCTTCTGATGTTTGAGCCTCAACAGTTGGTAAAATGTCCACCAAAGATTTTATTTTTAGTTGGAAATATGGATCCGTCCATATTTATACTCTTACGGGACCACCGTCGCTTCAACATTTTGCATTTTTTTCCATTTTCAAGGACCAATAATTACAAATTCGGCCTCATCTGGAGCCATTTAAACATTTTGATTTGCTGTAAAGATTAATGTCTGAGTTCTCACCAAATTTCACAGCTGTGCGAGTTTTATTTCTGGAGATATTAATCCCTAAAAATGGCATCTTTTTCTTCATAGCGACCCCTTCATTAGTGGCACTATGGCTCCTTCTATACCTCCTGATTACTGCTGCACAAAAAAATTCTTCCTGGATGTTTTTTTTCCATCTTGTTGAAGTCTCACTATCAGATCTTTTAACTCACCTGTCGATAATTTTCCATGTGGAGCCCTGATGCAGACATCGTCAGAGCCCATAGATGCAAAACATACAAAGTTCAGCTGTTCATAGCTCATTTTAAAAACATGTTTATACAGTTAGGTTAATGGAAATCTGCTGGAAACTCTTCTGTCTGAGTCCTCACCAAATTTCATGGCTGTTGGAGTTTTATTTCTGGAGATATTAAAGCTTTAAAATGGCTTCATGGGTTTTTTTTTTTTTAAAAGGGTGAAAATGCAAAAATCCCCAGATCTGAGAACACATGAAGTTCTGCTAAAATATTTTCGAAACGAACTTTCAGGTCCTAAATAAGTAATATTTAAAAAGATCTAAAACCCTAAAATGATGGTATTTATATATATTTTTTAAAAACTAATGTTTATCACATTTTAATTGAGTTCTTTAAATGAAGAAAGAGCAGCTAAATTTCAGTCATTTTGGCCCGCTTTTATTTTGAAATTTGAAAAGGTTGAATCATTCCTGTATAGCTTTGAGGCATTTTGGATGAGTTTTATGTATTTTGTACAATTTATTAGAGATATGTTGGACATTTTTTATTTTGGAAGTTTTAAAGAAAAATCTGCCAAGTTTGAGGTATTCTGGACGGTTTTTGAGCATTTTTTGATGAAACTACAAGTCATGTTAACCCACTTATTTTGAAATTTGAAGAAGTTTAGTCATTCCTGTAAAGCTTTGAGGCTTTTTGGATGAGTTTTAGGTATCTTGTACAATTTCTTTTATTCATTTTGAAAGTTTTCAAAGAAGAATCTGCAGGTTTGAGGTATTCTGGACGGTTTTTGAACATTTTTTTGAACATTTTTTGCTGAACCTACGAGTCATTTTGGGCAAACCGAAGCAGAAAACACACCCGGGGCNTTCATTACCGTCGTAGAGTCACTGCTGCAACCAGTGACATGCTGCTTAACCGTATAAAAACTACTATTAGTGTCCACGATTTGGATCTGTTTTATATTGACAACTTTACAATGATTTAACATCCAGTTCTTCTGATGTTCGAGCCTCAAAAGTTGGTAAAATATCCACCAAAGACTTTATTTTTAGTTGGAAATATGGATCTGTCCATCTTTATACTCTTACGGGACCACCGTCGCTTCAACATTTTGCATTTTTTTTCCATTTTCAAGGACCAATAATTACAAATTCGGCCTCATCTGGAGCTGTTTAAACATTTTGATTTACTGTAAAGATTATTGTCTGAGTTCTCACCAAATTTCACAACTGTGCGAGTTTTATTTATGGAGATATTAATCCCTAAATATGGCATCTTCTTCTCCATAACGACCCCTGATTAGTGCTACTATGGCGTCTTCTATACCTCCTGATTACTGCTCCATCTTGTTGAAGTCTCACTATCAGATTTTTCAATAATTTTCCACGTGGAGCCCTGATGTAGACATCGTCACAGCCCACAGATGCAAAACGTACAAAGTTCAGCTGTTCATAGTTCATTTTAAAAACATGTTCGTGCATGTAGGTTCATGGAAATCTGATGGAAACTCTTCTGTCTTTGGTATCACCAAATGTCATGGCTGTTGGAGTTTTATTTCTGGAGATATTGAAGCTTTAAAATGGCTTCATGGTTTTTTGAGGGTGAAAATGCAAAAATCCCCAGATCTGAGAACACATGAAGTTCTGCCAAAATACTTTAGATAAGAAGTTTTGGGTCCCAAATAACTAATATTCAAAAGTCTCAACGAATATCTACAACCTAAAATGATGGTATTTGTAATTAAAAAAAAAAAAAAACAGCTGTATCACATTTGAATGGAATTCTTTAAATGAAGAAAGAGCAGCTAAATTTGACTCATTTTGGCCCGCTTTTATTTTGAAATTTGAAGAAGTTTAGTCATTCCTGTAAAGCTTTGAGGCTTTTTGGATGAGTTTAGGTATTTTGTACAATTTCCTTTAGTCATTTTGGACATTTTTCTTACTATTTTGGAAGTTTTTAAAGGAAAATCTGCTGGGTTTGAGGTACTCTGGATGATTTTTGAACATTTTTTTGAGCTTTTTTTGCTGAACCTACGAGTCATTTTGGGCAAACCGAAGCAGAAAACACACCCGGGGCACCGACGCTTGTTTCCAGCTTCACGCTTCGGCAGCACAAACTGTAAAACCCACCAGAGTCCGGCCGATCTCTGCTCTCCACGGCTCCTCTTCTTCAAATTCCCAGAAGCTCTCGGATCCTTCTGGAAGCTCCGAGGCAGAAAAGAGCATTTTTGTCAGTTTTTTTGTGCGGCGGCTGCAGATTTTTTAATTAATTAATTTTTTTGTTTCGCCGCTCAGAGACTTGACCACAGCTGTCACGCTGCTGAGGCGGTAATCCGGCGCCTACGTGTCCGCTCCACTGGGTTTGGAAGGTGTAAGTCGTGGCGCCGCCGCCGACACCGAAACCTTTTTAAGCTGTCAGGCCCCATATCTGCTCTTTACGGCTAAAGGTGTGTGCGTGTTTGCTCGGTGACAGAACAACAGAGCTGTAAATGGAGTTTAAATCTTAAATGACCTCCGTGACCTTAAGCTCACTTCCTTTTTTTTCCCGTCTCGGCGGCGTGACAGCTGTGGTCGTGACCTCAGACGCTGCTTCCTCCGAATATCTAACAAAAAACACTGCAGAGGCATTAAAAAGAAAGGAGAGAAAAGGAAAATAGCTTCCAGTCCTGCAGCGTATTTAAAGTGCAATGACCCGAAATGAAACCGAGATCTCAAGGTCCTGTCAATGTCAAGCTGCCGGTTAATACCAGGTTCAGAGTTCGGCTTCGGCTGCAGGTGTCCAGTCGCCTCTCTGCATGTTTAGGTTCTATTTACAGGAACATGTGAGACGGACTTCAGTCGATCTGATGATGCAACGGTTCAGCTTCATGCTGTGAACATGTCAGGTCCTTCAAGTCCACAGAGGAGGGTCCAGATTGATCACCTTAATGGACTTTTTCCATCATTTCTGAGGTTCGGTCTTTAATTACCTCAATGGCTTAAAATTGGCACCAAAAGGTCCAAAATTACCACAAAAAAACATAAAATTGTCACAAAAAGATACACAATTACTATAACGAATCAAAATCCCCACAAAAAGGTGTGAAATTGCCAGAAAAAAACATAAAATCACCACAAAAAAGACATGAAATCTCTACAAAAAGATGTAAAATTATCATAAAAAGCAGAAAAATCGCCACAAAAAGGTTCAAAATTACAAGAAAGAAAAACAAAATCACAATAAAAAGGTTTGAAATTACCAGAAAGAATCCTAACATTGTCATAAAATGGGCCATAATTAGTAGTTTTTCTAAAATATAAATGAAACAAATTTGCAGAGTGTTTTAAAACTTGACCCAAAAAAGGTCCAAAATCTGTCCGACATGAAATCAAATTTACCAAAATCACAAAAAATTGTCCAAAATTATTCAAACAATTTACCATAAGTTTTCTGACGCAGATTAAAAAGCACAGAATGTTTGTTTTGTGACATTTCTTCTTATTTGTGTGATGCAACCTGATGTTAAATCTGTTTAAAACTTCTGGAACATGTTCTGATGAGAGCACAAGAAATTCTACATTTACTGTCGTCATGTTGACTTTTGTTGCTCACTTCCTGTTTTATTTTGTAGGGACCCGGTCCTGGTGTGTCTCCTGCTGCTTTACTTCCTGTGCTGATTGGCCTCATTAGTCCCACCTGATCCTGGTGTCCTGTTTGTCACTGGGTCCTGCTGACCTCCATCCTGCTGGACTTCCTGCTCCTCCAGGTCGGTGCTCTGTTCTCACGTCTCCTCATTTTCTCTCCTGAGTTTTGTTTTTGAGGATTTTGGGTCTGGATTTGTTTTCCTGAACTTCCAGCCGTCGTCTGTTTGCTGCTTTTGTTTTTCTGCCTTCAGTCTGGATTAAAGTTTCATGTCGTCGCCTGTCTGAGGTTTCAGCTCTCAGGTCCTCGTCTGAAAAACCCTCAAACACATTCAGTGTTTCTTGGTTTAGTTTGGCAGCCGCCAGTTAATTTAAGGTTTTAGTTCTTTGTTCCTCCTCATGGTGACAGATTCCATGTTTGGTTGATAAGTTCATTGGATTTATGTTGTTCTTCTCTGAAATCAACACTTTCAACACTTTAGTCGTCTGCAGCTGAAGGAATAGTTTGATTTAACGCTCAAAGAACCATTTAAAAGAGGTAATTTAATGAAGAAATGAAGAACCATCTGGAATATGGTTCCTTAAAGAACATGTTTTGCTCTTTGGAACCCACTTTATGATGCCTGAATGAGCTGTTGTTTGATGTTTCTTTGGGGATCCTTTGAAGAACCTCTTGCTATGAGGCTCTTTGTGTCATAAGTAGAACCAGGTGGGTCCATAAGGAACCAGCTGTCAAATGGTTCCTTTAAGAACCCATTTTTGCACTTTGGAACACACTATATGATGCCTAATGAACCATTTCTTGATGTTCCTTCGATGCACCTTTGGGGGTTCTTCAAAAAACTTCTTGCTAAAAGGTTCTTTGTGAAACTAGAATGGGTTCTTCTGTGGCATCCTTGCAAAAACGAATCACTAGAACAATTAAAAACAGGTAATTTACTGAACAAATGAAGAACTATCTGTAAAATGGTTCCTTAAAGAACCTGTTTTTACTCTTTGAAAGACACTTTATGATGCCTGAATGAGCTGTTTTTTGACGTTTCTCTGAGGATTCTTTAAAGAACCTCTTGCTTTGAGGCTCTTTGTGTCATAAGTAGAACCAGGTGGATCCATAAGGAACTAGTTGTGAATTGGTTCCTTAAAGAACCTGTTTTGCTCATTAGAACACACTTTATGATGCTTCATGATCCGTTTCTTGATGTTTCTTCGATGCATCTTTGGGGATTCTTCAAAAAACTTCTTGCTAAAAGGTTCTTTGTGGAACTAAAGTGGGTTCTTCTTTGACACAACTGCAAAACAAACCGTCATAGTTCCAGTTAGAACCTTGTTCTTCTGAGCGTGTAGCATTATGATGAGGTCCAGTCAGACTAAAGGCTGAACTTGCTGCATAAAGAGTCAAAGGCAGACAAAAAAAAAAAGTAGTTTTTCTTTACATTTCGAGCACAGATCCGCCCGCGGACTCTACAAATGAAACGTCACCTTTCAGTAAACTCCACGTTCTCCGGCTGCTGCAGGTTCTCCTGGTTGGTCTGAAAGTCGGACCGAAGCTTCCTCCCAGCTCAACGCGGCGCCTGGATCTCCCCCGGTGACCCGTTCGGATGCAAATGAAAGCTCTTCTCTGAACTCCTTGCCGACGTAAAGACTCTTCGCCCAATCCCTGAAGGTATGTTCGCTCCGACCGTGAATTTCATTTGCATTAATTCCACCTCTGGATTGTTTATTTCCTCCACATAGAATAAACGGCGACTTCACAGACATTAGCTTTGAGCTAGCAAAACAAACCCTGTGAACCTCCTCCGTCTCTACATTTAGAAACCCGAGTCGTCTCAGGACGTGAACTTTAGCAGGTCACTTTGTTGAAGCTGTTGGCTGGATCGTGTTTAAAAGTCGACATCGTGATACTTTTCAGATATTATTCCTTTTATAAACTGGAGCTGCTGCTTTTCTGTTAATCTTTATATTTGAGCCTGAGTTGTGGAGCTCTTTGTAAAGTTAGTTTCAGGTTGACCTCTATAGATGAATCATTGAACATCCGTCTGGCATGTAGCTGAATATTGATGATTGAGACTCGACTGATGGTTTACATTTGGTGAATTGGTGATAAAATGTCGCATGTATGAGCTTTTGTTGATGATTTTGGGAGCAGGAATGAAGCTGGTTCTTGGGTGTTTTCAGTGTTTTATGCATCTTCAAAGTCTGCTTTAGAGCAAATGGTCTGAACGTACTGGATTGTTTCATCCAAGAGTCTTTTCAACACAACAAACATGACGGTTGTGTTGTTTTCATCAAACTTAGCTGACAAGCTAGCTCTACTATTACTCTCTGTTTAGCTGTTTCCATCCTTTTTTCTGCTAACCTGGCATCAGCTCGCTGTTTGTACGTCATTAAACCAATGTCATGTTATATTTTTGGGCCAATGATTAACTTGTGTTGGTGCTTAGCTCACGCTGTTTCTTATGAGTAGTAATCAAAAAGTTCTGGGACTGTTTGTTCTGGGACATGAACTGCGTCATGGTCTCCTGTGAAAGCATCAACATCAGGACTTGTTTTACCGACTGGTAGGTGTTTGATTTCTACCTGGTCTGGTTCTACTGTAACATCTTGAGGTGTTTGAGGAGGAACATTTGGTGACTCGACCTGCATCGTGTCCAATCACAGCTATCGATCACAACAACACGATCCTGACTCCATACCTGCCAGACTCCCAATATTTCGATCCCTACGACGTCTTTATCGTCACTGAAATAAAGTTTAAGTTGAACGTTTGCTGTTTTGACACTGTTTAAGTTCTTCCAGGAGGCAGTACGAGTGTTTCAGAGTATCGCTGCACAAGGAGAACGCCTTCACAGGGATGGTGCTGCATTTAAACTGGGTCGTGATGTTGGAGACTCTGTTGGTTGCACCTTGAAGTAAACAGTGTTGCAGTGAATTACCACCAGCCATGCTAGCCACATTAGCCACATTAGCCACATTAGCCGCGTTGCCCCCAGCAGATGCAGTCGAACATGCCTGTATGGTCCCTGTACCGCAGCTGTCTGTTAATTCTGGTGTTAATTTAATGTGTTTTTTTGTGGTAATTTTGGCCCTTTTGGTGACAGTTTTAGTCTTTGAGGTCATTTTACCTGTTTTTTTGTTTTTTTTTTATGGTTAAAAATTACTCAGAACCAGGTCCAGTGTTCAGACTGAGACCCCTGGATGGATGTAGAACTGATCTGGTGTCAGGTTCTACCAGAATCCAGACGTGTTCTTCCTCCTACATGTCATGTGTCTATCTGCTGTACTGATGAGGTTCTGAGGCTCAGACATGATGGACCAGCTGTGACCCGTATGGAGCCTGTAGCTGAACATTTTCTCAGTCTGAAGGCAGAACGGCTTCATGAAACACACCGAAGCTGCTGTAGATAAAGAATCAGCTGATTCTGAGGAGGTCGGACGGAGGAACCGATGGATTCTTCATGGAGTGACCCAGAAATTAGAGATGCAGCTCAGGTCTGGATGAGCAGGAGGAACGCCTCGTTCAGAGATCAGAACCCTTCAGCCGATGATCCACTGATAGACGTCGGGTTCTCTGGTTTCCTCTTTATAAACCTCCTGTTGGACCGGTTTGTGTTTCGTTGTGAGTCTCTGAAGTTGTCGCCGATGAGCAGAACCTGTCAGCAGGTTCTCTGGATGAGTTTGTGTGTTCAGACGTTCTGGTTCAGAGAGTCGGTTGTGTTTCTATCAGTGTGTCGTCGTTGTGAGTCTTTGCTGACTCGGTTCTGGGGATAAACTCCCTGAAGTTCAGCCGTCAAACAGTTTTTCTTTGACAGTCTTTTGTCTCTTTTCTGTCTTGACTGAACATCACAGCCGTCATTTCCTTTTTCTTTTCTCTCTTTTATTCTTTCTGGATCTATCTGATCCTGAAGCTGACAGACGATGTCGCCATAGAAGGAACATTTTAATGATTAATCATCGTTAATATTTAAGGACTAAATTTTAATCCATGTTCTCGTCGAATCTCGCAAACAAACAAAAAACAAGAAAAACAAGAAATGGTTCATTTGTCATTTTAACACCAAAAAAAATCAAAAAGAAATCTCAAATAATTAAAACGTAATCAAAAAAATAAACAATGGGCCTATTTTATTCTTTTTAAAATGAAAAAAATTGACTAAGTTTAAAACAGAAGATAAAAAAATGTATTTAAAAAAAAAAGGGAAGTCATGCTATTATGTGTCTTACTAAAAATTTAAAAGTTTTGTTATTTAAGAAGAAGAAAAATGAGCCTTTTTGTTGTTGTTGGTTTAAACCAAACTAAATCTGTGAGTTCGTCTTTCTTTTTCTTTTTTTTTTCCCACTACTTTTGGTCTTAAACAGTAAAACGCTCAACGACAGATCGAGGTGTGTTTTCAATGTTCGTTTAATTTGTGTTCGTGGACATCAGGTCCAGTTTCTTTAGTTTTTGGTTTTTCACAGATAAACAGATTAAAGTTTAGGGCTCAGACCAAAAATGTTCCCCGGTCAGGAAGAAAACATGAAGAGTTTCATCTTTAATGATCCACGAGTTTCAAAATCTAACAAAGAAAATCACAGTTTTCCTGTTAATGAGCTCAAAAATGTTTTTTCACATTTAAACTTCCCCATAATCACATTTTCTTACTTGTTTAATGTTCCAGATGAGAAACAGAAGATTTCAGGTTTTTATCTTTAATAGATGTTGTTGTTAAAACAGCTGAAAACAAACCTGTAGAAACTGGATCAGTGGGTAATAAAACTAAAAAGTATTTAATGTATGAAGCTAAACCTTCACCAGTGTCTTTATAACTGTCTGTATTTATGATGTCCAATCAGAGACGGTCCAGCAGAAGTTTTGTTGCTTCATGTTCTGAACAACAATCAGCTGTTTTCTTCACCAGTTGGTCAGAAACATGAAGTTTGGTGTCAGACGAAGCGTCACAGAACCGTGATGGTGTTTTAATGCAGAGTCGCTGGTCTGAGCCGGTTTAAACCTGGACCGGGCCGGATAAAGCTCCTGGTCTCCGTTTTCTGCTGATCTCGTCCAGGCCGGAGCTTTGGGTGCTGCTGCTGAGTCAGCGGTTCTTAGAACAGCAGCTTCTCTGGGTTTGATCAGAACATCACGTATTCATCGGGTTTCGTCTCTTTCGGACTTTTGTAGCTTCGTGTTTATTTCTCAGGTCAGCGGGTCGAGTTTTTAGATGTTTTCTTTTAACTTTGCTCGTTTCTGCATCAGGTTCTGGTAAATTACACAAAGTTCTGTTTGTGATCCAGATCCTGCTGCAGTTCTGGGTGTGTTCTGAGATGTTTCTTACATTCATATCTGATCCTGTGCTGAATTAAAAGCCGTAAACTCGTTATGAGCTGAAGTTAATCCTCCTGCAGCACAAACACACGACGACGTTACAGGAAACTCTTTTATATCCGGTTTCATTTCCAGGGACAGAAGATAAATCTGAGGCTCCGAACACGATTAACGGCAGAACAAAGACAGAAAAAAGGAAACTTCTGATCCACAAATCTACTTTGGGTTTTTCTCTCATCTGAGATGTTGAAT